GTGTGTGTGTGTATAGTTCAATTCAGTGTGTGAAAATAATGTTCAGTTCCTGTATATATATTATTCTATGTTTATCTTGGCTGTAGCATCCTTGTTTATTAGTTTGAATGTTTCTCCCTCTCTATTTCCTTCTTTTGTCCCAACCCAATCTACTTTGTTGAATGCTTTAAAGATGTTAATTTATGCACAACTGAAGTTGATTACTACTTCAACAAATTGAGTTGTCTAGATATCATCCATTTGTAAATATTGTTACTTTATGAGAAAAGCCACATTTGATCTATTTATGTGTAGCGAGTGATTGAACAATTTTAACAGAGAGGTAAAAAACTTTAGATTTTGAAATCACCAACAATGTTCATGTTATATGTGTGTTTATGCAACTGAACTGTGTTTAGAAAGTTTTTGTGCGATGATTGTGCTTTTAGTGAGCTATTATGGCCTGTAGTTCATTCTGAGTTGGAGCTGTACTTTGGTTTAGTAAAGGAGCTGAGATGATGATGCAGCTGAAGGGTTGATGATCTAGTGTTTTGTAGTTTTCTGCTCTTCTATGATGCTATGGGGAAGTAGATGTTGATCTATGTGTTGAAGGAGGAGTCCATCTCACAGCTGGAGGAGAACCGAGCTATGAGAAGTGGAGCAGGAGCTGAGCTATGGAGTACATAGCTGTGATGGAGGAAGGATTCCAGCAACTGGAGGTACAGGTCCAAGTTTTGGCTATTGCTTGCAGGCAGTCTATGGTTTATTAAGGCCATGGTTTGTTTCTGCTTGGATGGAGAGGCAGCTGGTCTGTGCTTGATAAATTCGTGGTTAATCCTGTTGAAATGCACACATCTGATTGAGTTTGGACTTGTTTCCAAAATACCATAGGGCATATAGCATATAGGTCTCTGATGAAGTGCATTGACAATCTAAAGAAAACTATGCATGTAAACTGGGATTTGCCATTACATAATTTGCCTTCTAATTTGCTATAAGAATACAGCACTCCACTGTGAGAAATATTGTAGATGCAATGTTTACTGGCTTCTGTTTTGCTGCTGTGCTGCAATGTTTGCTGCAACCTCATCAAGATTGCTGCTATGTTTGTTGCTATGTGTGCTGAATATCATTATGCTATAATGTTGAGTTTTAATACCAGTGTCCTTTCATTTTTGTAGTGTTGAAGAATGACATATTCAAGCACGACAACAAGCAACGACGAGTTAAGATATCGCAATATGCATTGCCCCAGTTGTAGCAAAAAAACGATTATCAAATTTTTCGAATCTGAAAAAAATTCAAGGAAGCTATACTGCAAATGTCTAGATGATTCTAGTCACTTTTTTAAGTGGATGACTCCTATTACTCTCCCCTCCTCGGAAATTACAAATGATAGGATGGATGTACGATGAATTGAAGACGATGTACTACAAATTGAAGACAATGTACGACGAATTGAAGAACTTTGTAATATAATTCAACGTGTTAAGGCTAAAAAATGTTCAATGAAGTCAAATATGTTTGTAGTTACTTTAGTAGTGGTGATGCTTATATTTGTGATTGTAGTGAAAAAGAGCTATAAGAGCAACGGTGTAGTAATGAAACTTATGTTGTAAATGAACTTGATGGTTTAATTTGAATGAAATTGTGGGTTTTGTATATTGTTGTGACTTGGAAGATCATATTCATCAAAAAAGATCATATTCATTAAGAAGATCACATTCATTCAAAAGAAGATCACATTCATTCAAAAGATCACATTTATTAAAAAAGATCGCATTCATTGAAAAGATCACATTCATTAAAAAGATCAAATTCATTAAAAAAAGATCACATTCATTAAAAAAAGATCCGATTCATTAAAAATATAACAAGCATCCTTACAACTGCTAGTAGTCTCATTAAAAATAAATAATTTTCAACAAAATGAGAAATTGAGTAGTCTCCATCTGCATCCTTATAACTGCTGATCCTTCAAGCATCCTTACAAGTTGTATTCCCCATTCATTAAAAATGATTCAGCATCATTTAAAGAATGCACATATGTTGAATCAATCGAAGTACCCTACATTAATGAGAAGGAGGCAGACAAAGAAACTTCNAATAAATAATTTTCAACAAAATGAGAAATTGAGTAGTCTCCATCTGCATCCTTATAACTGCTGATCCTTCAAGCATCCTTACAAGTTGTATTCCCCATTCATTAAAAATGATTCAGCATCATTTAAAGAATGCACATATGTTGAATCAATCGAAGTACCCTACATTAATGAGAAGGGGGCAGACAAAGAAATTTCGTAAATATGTGAAACAATAAAATTAACAATAAGGTAACATACCATAACACTTTGTACACTATTTGAAGCTTGAGAAGACATCGAATGACCATATATTGATGTACACGGTTGACTGAAACCTTATAACTGGAGTACAAAAATACTTACAATTATGTGAATAAAAATATGAAGTGAATTAAAAAAATCTACAATTATATTTATACGATACCGTAGACATATGTGATGGTTGGGAAGCTCCTTTTTTTCTTTCAAACTTTTATTCTGAAAATCTTTCCTGACGCTAAATCCCACAGACCCTCCATTACTAT